CATGTCTCCCTGTGGTACATTTTAACCTCCAAAACTAGTGCTTCTTGTTCTAGCATTGAAATATACCGGTTATAATAATATTTTTTAAAAAGTAAAAATAAATGATCTGTTTATATATTTTAAATAGTTTTTCTTGTTGATGTGTTATCTAAGATTGTGTTTAGAAATGCATTTGTACACCTAAGAGTACTTAATAACTTGATGATCATGGATTGCCTTGATTCTATTTGTATGTTTTCTTGCAGGTAGGTCTTGGCACAATACCATATGGACCTGGACAAAACTTGTTAAGATGGAAATTTTTATTATATTAATCAGTTCAAATATTGGACCAGTCTATGTAGTTTTCCAGTATTTTAGTCAAATAACTGGATGTGGGCTTCATAGATGTGGGATAATTAATGATCACTTTAAATTATTTCATACCAAATATAAAGTTGGATCTCAGATAGTTAATTTTTATGGAGCATTTACCATAGGCCAGTTTCTGTGTAGTCTGATACACACATTATCTCACTTAATATTTACAATAACATCAGTTAGGTTTATTAAACTCACTGTTTTACAGATGGAGAAACTGAGTCAAAGAGGGATTAAGTTCCTTTCCCATCGCCCCCAAACTAGAGCCATGTTCTAGAACCTTTCCTTTCATATAACTGAAAACTTTGGTAGAAGCAGCATGAGATGTAAATGATTCAAGATAAAATATAAGCTTCGTGGTAGTGCAAAAGTAGGAGCCATGCCTTTCTTTTTCATCTCTGAGTCCCAATACCCAGAACAATGCCCAGTATGTAGTATATGCTCAGTAAATAGTTGCTGAATAATTAAATCTTCACTTCAAATACAACATTTTTAAAAAATGTGTTTGACTGGAATTTGACCTGAAATATAATATTTTTTACATTCAGAAGTGCAGGAATAGGAGTTGTTTTTTCCCAACATCTTTTCGGCTCACTATTTTGATTGTCATCAAGAGTGGAGTATATTTTCTTCCTTGAAGAGGTATAGTAAAAATTTTAATGCTGGTATATAAACTTAACAAGGAATTGAACTGGCTTTATTTTTAAACTGCCCGAAGTATAGGAACACTGTTTCATATGTAGAGATTTTTATTTTAATGAAAGTTGAAAAGTGTTTGATATCTTTATTAAACTTTGAGTATTCTTGAGGTGATGAAGCATACCATCCTTCCAAACATATAAATAGTATTAAATGTGTTTTGAGTTATGAGTGATGAAAATAAACTATAATTTAAAGATGTTTTAAAAGTGTGTGAATGCACAGAATAATGTTCAAATTTTGGGGTGGACAAGTGTAAGATAATGTAACTAGAGAAATCTCAGTGATATTTATAGTATGTCTGATGAGGTTTGTACTTTAAGTTAGAACCAAGAAGGGGGGCATAGGAATTATGATAGAGTTTCAGACTGTTTCTGGGATAATCATTAAGTGTTTTTCTGTGGCTTGAAAAGCCAACAATGTGAGGTAATGTCAGACAACACAATGGTCTCTGCCCATTTCTAAACTAAGCACCAGAAAAGAGAATGAATTACTCTAAGACCTCTAAGTCCCATTTCTGTAGTTGAGGGTCAGCTTCAAATATTTGGTGGAGGCTGGGGGCACATAAGAAATCATGTTTCCGTTAGGAGGAAGGGGAAATGGATGCTAGAATAGACAAAAACAGAATCCACTACAATGCCTCTATTGTCTTGTAACAATCTTTGGATCAGAGCAGTGGACACCAAACGCAGGGGCAGATTATGGAGAAAATAATAAAAATATTATCATGTTTTACAAATGGACCACACATTTTAAAGCTTATGATCTAATAGGTTCATTAAAAAGTCCATTTTGTCAGATGGCATTTAAACAATATTTTACTAACTTCAATTCAAATAAAGAAGATTAAAGAAACCTGGGTAAATTGGCTGTTAATAGAAGAAATTTCAGCTGTTCAGAGTTGATGAAATAAATTAATTTTCCTCTGGGTAACATAGAAAAACATGAAAAATGGGAGTGAGGCTGGAGAGAATGAATAGTGGAGTTCCTGATAAATCAGGTGTAAAAACAATATAGGGGGAGACTATCACTGTAAATGAAATTATTGAATACCTCCAACCTCAAAAGAGATTAACACACTATTTAAAAACCAGTTGTCCATGAGAAGAGATTGAGATTTGGGGGTAGTTAATAAAGTCTATTTAATCTCTGTAGCAATGGTTCTCAAAATACGGACCTTCTACAACTTGAATCAAGTGTGCAGCTTACATGCAACCAGTGGCTGACACATTGCCTGATACATAAAAGGCACTAGAAAAATATTTGTTAAATGAAGTAAAATTAATGATCAAAAGACAGGTAAGTAATGAAGGCATTAATGAACCCAAATGCCATTTCTCATTAATTCCTAATATGATTTTTTTCATCATTCTCCAGGTAAATATCATCCATAATAGCACTAATATTTCTTCATGATAGTGGTACAGCATTGCTCCCTTCCCAGCCTATAAGATGCTAGTTGTTATTAATGCTAATAGATACTATTTATTGAGCATTTAAGGTATTAAGCACAAAGCTAAGTGCTTTTTCTGCATCAACACATTTAACCCTCGTAACAAGCTTGTATGATGGATATTGTTCCCCCTTTACAGAAAAGGAAATCAAAGCTCAAAGAGATTAAGTAATTTTTCCCCAAGTTAGATAGCTGATAAATAATGATGGGTTAGAACCCAGTTTTGATTCACTTTGTAAATTGAAGCCCGTGCTCTCAAAGGGTAAACTTCTTCCATCTTTGCAGCATTCTGCACATTTATTTGGCATCTTACAAGCTTTACACTTTCTCCTTTGAAATTATCTTTGACACCACTTTTGAGGTTCCTGCTCTGGCACTGTTTCTTATGGCCAGGGGTCTTCATAAACTCTTCTGTTTATGAAGTAGTAATTCTTCTTTTCTTTTTTTTCTTTTTGTTAATCCTCAACGAAGATATATTTTCATTGATTATTTTAGAGAGAGTGAAAGGGAGAAGAAGAGACAGAGAGAAACATCAATGTGTGAGAGAGAGAGAGTGAGATCCATTGGTTGTCTCCCGCACGTGCCCCAACCAGGGCTAGGGATTGAGCCTGCAACTGAGGCATGCACCCTTGACTGGAATCAAGCCTGAGACCCTTCAGTCAGTGGGCTGGCGCTCTAACCACTGAGCAACCGGCTAGGGCTAATTCTTCATTCTTTGTTGGCTTCTTTAGAAGACGGATCCCAGGACCTGAAACCCTCATTCAGTCGAATTCTAATCTGAATTCATTCCATTTATACCTGTATAGATCTCATTCTCTTCTGCAGTTGTGAGGATCTGCTGAGGGGCCTTACATTAAGTCCCTTTTCTCTTTCTCACAACTGATCAGAGTCCCAGCCTTTATCCTGGTAATTCAAAGAACCCAGATCAGACATATATTTCTCTATTTCCCATTATTCCAAGTACCTTTCTTTGAAGGTGTTTTCCTACTTGTCTAATTGTTTTAGGACTACAGTCATCATATTCTATTGCAATTTTTCTCAGAGATTTATCTTGGATATAGTTAAAACTGGTATCTTAAAAAAATTTAAATTCTAACTCAATGAGAGGCAAAATAAAGTGGATTTTACTCTGGAAAGGGTTGCAAATAGAGATCAGTCTGTTAACCTAAATCCTTTCTGGGCTGCCTTCACAATCCCTATCTCCAGGTGTTATTTCAGGCTTCCTGTGGGAGGAGCCTCAGAGAAGCTTTTCTGATGTTCCTCAGGCACTATCTGTTCCATCCGGCCATCCCCAAATAAGACCAGTCTGCCTCCATCTCTGCATACCTTCAGCAGCCAGGGCACAACCTTCCCCACTGTCCAAGTTTTACCCTAAAGGGGAATCAGATGCCGATTTTATTGAATTTTGTCCCTAAGTCTCAGATTGACTGAAATGTTGCTTTTACTTCCAAGCATCTAGTGTTTTTGTTTGTTTTTATGAGAAAGGATGTCCATTTTTATTTAGTTGAGGTTACTTAATTGCCAGCAATGAGATGATTTCCAATTGATTAGGTCCAGTTACCTTAGTAAATCAAGTTTTCCACAGGAACTTATATCAAACCAACTGACTTCATTTTAGTGCTGGTAAATGTGTACTTCTGCAGTCTTGGTCATTTTATATCCAACAGAAACATTTAAAGGAAATGTTAGCTAAGCTAGGTGAAGATTCAATGTGGGCAGCCTACAAAAGGGACTTTGTCTGAGACCTCTTCCTTTTAGGCTCAGAAAAAATCTGTCGAGCAGGCAATATTTTTATCTGTTTTCCTGTCCTAGGGAGATTTCCTATGGCTGCATGAAGTCACAGCCATACTCAGCATCGTGCCCTCCCCATTATTGAGTCTTGAAGAAGCAGGTCCCTTTTTTAAAAATTCAAATTTATTGCCCAGCAGGCATGGCTCAGTGGTTGAGTGTTGACCTATGAACCGGGAGGTCACAGTTCAATTCCTGGTCAGGGCACATACCGAGGTTGCGGACTTGATCCCCAGTATGGAGCATGCAGGAGGCAGCCAATCAATGATTCTCTCTCATCATTGCTGTTTTTATCACTCTCTCCCTCTCCCTTCCTCTCTGAAATCAATAAAAATATATTTTTTAAAAATTCAAATTTATTAAGTTATAATTTATATACAATAATATGTATACATTCAATAAATTTAGGCAAATATATACACACCTAGTGTAACCATCATCACAGTCAAGATATAAAAACCCTATAATGTTTCCTTGTGTCCCTTCCACTCAGCCCTCCCCACACTCAAGCCCCTAGCCCAGCTGTGGGCAAACTACGGCCCGCAGGCCGAATCAGGCCCGTTTGAAATGAATAAAACTAAAAAAAAAAAAAGACCTTACCCTTTTATGTAATGATGTTTACTTTGAATTTATATTAGTTCACACAAACACTCCATCCATGCTTTTGTTCCGGCCCTCCGGTCCAGTTTAAGAACCCGTTGTGGCCCTCGAGTCAAAAAGCTTGCCCACCCCTGCTGGGCCTAGCCCAAGAAACCATTGAGAATAACTCCCATGAGATGAGGATTTAACACCGTGGAATAAACTTGTCTTTCCTAGAATTTCAAACAAAGAATTATACAGTGTGTTCTCTTTTAGGTCTGGCTTCTTTCATTCAGCGTCATGTTTTTGAAATTCATGTTGTTTATATATCAGTGGTTTGTTCATTTTTACTGCTTAGTACTATTCCATTGTATGTATACACCATAGTTTGTCTATCCATTCACCTATGGAGGGACATTTGGGTTGTTTCCAGTTTTTTGGCTGCCTTTGTTCAGACATATGTTTTCATTTCTCTTGGGTAAATACTTCGGAATGGAATGACTTGGGTCATACAGTAAGTGGATACTTAACTTTATAAGAAACTGCCAAACTTTTCCCAGAGTGGTTGTACTATTTTACATTTCCACCAGCAATGTTTTAGAGTTCCTACTGCTCCATATTCTCACCAACACTATGTAGCCATTCTAGTAGGCAAGTAGTGGTATCTCATTGTGGTTTTAATGTACACTTCTTTGATGGCTACTGACGCCGAGGATCTTTGTATGTGCTTATTGGTCCTGCTTTTGTGAAGTGAATAAATATTTGTAAGCAACTGATATTTGCTAAGCAAATATCCCCTGGCCCACTTGAACTTCTAGAATGCCCAGCAGAGTTACACTATCCCTACCCAGTCACACATCCTACTTGCACCACATCCCTTCCCTTTTTCTAGGTCAGGGGTCAGTAACAGTTTTCTGTTAAAAGCCAGATAATATTTTGTTCTTCGTAGGCCATAGAAACTTTGTCACAACTAACTCGTCAACTCTGTCATTGTAAAAGCAGCCCTTGATAAGATATAAATTAATCACTGTGGTTGTTTCAATGAAACTTTATTTATGGACTCTGAAACTGTCACAAAAATAATATTCTTTAGATTTTTTTTCAACTGTTAAAAAAGGAAAAAAGTATTCTTAGCTGCAGGTCTAAGCTTGCCAAACTCCACTCTAGATGTTCACCAGATTTCCCCAAGCCCTTAGGGTACAGTGGAAATCTCAGCTCCACTATTTACCAGGTTGTATGGCCTTGGGCATATTTCTCTCCCTCCCTTTTAAAGGAGACTTTCAGGAAGTCTCAAACAATGCTTCCATTTACATTTTATTGGCTGAAACTTAGTCACATGATATACTTAATTGAAAGGGAGGCTGAGAAAGTCATTTATATGTGTGACCATGTGCCCAGTTGAAAACTTGGGCTCTGTTACTGAAGCAGAATGAAGGCAAGGGTGTTAGGGTAGTTAACGCAGTCTGGGCCATACACTTCCTATCCACCGCTCTATCCATATTCTCTGAGCTCTAGAATAGGCTCTGGAATTAAACGAGACACTAAGCTCAGTCACATCTGCCTGCTTGAGATGTGAGAGTTCATCATTTGCTATTTCTGGATTAGAAGATAGGATTAGATGACTTCTAATGTTTCAACATTAAGATTCTACAACTAGGACAACATTGAAAAACATAAACAATTTTATCCTTTCTTCTCTCTTCAGATTGCAGCCAATATAAAGATTGTCAAATTCATAGATGCACAATAGGTGACATATCTGGGCTTTACTCTCATCTCTGCCACTAAGTAGCTGTGTGACTTTAAACAATCAAAATCTTTGAGCTTCAGTTTTTATTTAAAACATGAAGTTAATACTTTCCCTTTATACTTCATGAACTTTCTCAAATGAAATTAAAACTATGAGGAGCTCTATGAACTCTAAATGCATATATTAATATAAGATCATGTCCCTTTTCATGAACTGTAGTTGGGAACATTTGGACTTCAAGGCACATCTCTCTTGTAACACCTCTTGTCTTCTGGTCATAACTTCCACTCTCCTTTATGCCTACTAGATGACCTTTAGAGAAAAAGGTACTGCAGAAATTATATGAATCTTTATGCAAGTGTTTGGTTCTTACATTATATCTTAGTTGCTTTCATGCAAGAGAAAATGTCTTGAAAAAACACTCCTGGGACAACAATCCAGATCTTTGGTTTCTGAGCAATACTGTTAGGCCTTATATCCAAATCCCCTTGCGCTGATAAAGAAATGCATAGGTACTCCAGATAGGAGCAAGTCTTCTGATACTCGGCCCAAATACAGTACAGTTATCGTAGGCACCTACCAGATGCTAGGGAGTGGAGCGCTATTTGGATCCCAAAAAGCAGCAGCTCTTGCCAAGCCTCACCCTTGAAAATTCCTACCACAATTCACACAGAGACCCACCCCTCTCCACTGCTCCACAGGTGATGACCAACCACTTAATGTTCTCTTAAGAGACTCAAGTCATCAATAGGAGAAAGGCTGGATGGTGTCCAGTCCTGCAGGCTTCATCAGGATTATCTTTAGTCTTTCTTTTGTTTTCATATTCAATGAGCACATCTGTAATCCCCATTAGGATTTCATCCCCACATAGTCTGCAAACAGAAAATTCCCAAATTATTAAGTATCCCTCCTGATAATAATTAGACTTATCTTCATAAAATGTGGCATCAACTTATCTTTTCTCAGTCTCCAATAAAAAAATCTTCAACAGTGTTTGCCTGCAAAATAAATCTAAAGTTAAACATTAAGGGCGTATATATACATATACATGCATCTATGTACATATATTCAATATATTATTTTTAAAAGTTTTAGTATGCTTTATATGTCATAACATATATTTTAAATACCTTCTGTACCATTATTGCTATTCCTGCACAAGATTAATAAGTCAACCAGCACACCATTATGTTACTTAATTTTGGATAACATAGCCAATAAAATGAAATAGAAAATGAAATAAGATGACAGCAGGAGGCCAAATTATCATTTTGCTATTAACATGATTGTATAAATGAAAACCCAAAGAAATCAACTGAATTTTATGAAAAGTAAAAAGAATTAAATAAATTCTGGATGGTTGTAAAGCTAAAAATTTTAAATGAGTAGATTTCTTTTAGTCTAAGTAATTTTAATTCATCTAAACTTTTACAAGTGCAAACATGCATTCATGTATTCTTACTGTAATTAAAAACATCTGGAAAAAGTATTGTAAATATAAATCATTCAAACAATAACTAGATAAAAAAATTAGTGGAAAAAGAAATTTCATTCACAATTGTGATAATTTTTCTAAAAGGTAAGATTTACATTAGTAAGCATAAGAAATGTGTAGGATCTACATGAATAAAACTTTAATATTGTACTAAGGATCATCACAGATTTCAGTGAATGGAAATGTATTCCTTATTCTTGGATAGGAAGATGCACCCCCAGTACTATGAGCAAAGATAAAAGAAAAATTTAACTGGTAAAAATATTTGCAACAGGTAAAAAAGGCTAATTCCTGATTACATTGAATGCTTTTTAAGGCAGAACAACCCAGAAATTGGCAAAGGACTCAACAGGAATTCCATAGAAGAATTATTATAAGTAATATCCAAAGATGCTCAACTGCATTCAGAATTTAAGAAAATGCTAATAAACACAAAAATGAGATATTTTTACCTGTTATATTTACAGAGATGAAAAAGTTTAGTAATAATACCCATTGTTGGGCAAGTGGTAAAATACATGTTTGTTAGAGTATTTTTAAATAATTTCAAAACACTGGAAAATGATTAAATTGCATTTATATAATTTAATACAAACAACTCACCTAAGGTATACTTTAATTTGGATATATTTAAATTTCATGTAAAAAGTTACTGATGTATTGTGACATACTAAAAGTAGAATATAAAAATACTAGGGGCCCAGTGCACAAATTCGTGCACCTTGAAAGGAACTGTGTGGACCATGAGGCTGCGGTGGGCACAGAGGCAGGTTTCGGCCCATCCTCTACACCCCCCGCTTGGCCCCTCCCACTGCGGCCCCCGGTCTCCTGTCTGCCTGCAGCCCCTGCTCCCACTGCTGCCACTCCCACGCGCTGACGGTGCTGGCCCCACTTACCCCCCCTGACAACGCAGAGCTATTGGGGCTGGCACTGTCAGCGGGTGCGAGCAGCAGCTGCTGCCCTGATCAACCCTCAGAGGCAGGGGGAGGTGGAGAAGCCCTCAGGGGTGATCAGGGCTGGCAGCTGCCACTCGCACCCACTGACGGCACTGAGAGATTAGGACTGGCGCCTCGCACCAGCAGCGGGTGTGAGCAGTGGCTCCAGCGCCTGCTGCGGGTGTGAGCGGGCCTGGCACTGACAGTGGGTGTGAGCAGCGGCTCTGGCAGCAGGTGCGAGTGGGCCTGTGGACAACAGCAGGTGCAAGAGGCAGCTGCTGGTCCCAATCGCCCCTCAGGAGCTGGGGGAGGTGGAGAAGCCCTGAGGGGTGATTGGGACCGGCAGCTGCCACTCATGCCCACTGATAGCACCAAGTGATCGGGACCAGCGCCGGGCACTGGCAGAGGGTGCAAGCAGTGGCTCTGGCCCTGTCAGCAGGTGTGGGCGCCAACAGCAGGTGCGAGCACCGGGTAGGACTGCAGCATGTGGGAACAAAGAATTTTCAGTAACCACCAGAGGCTTGTCTGATGACAGCAACTGGTGCCCTGCCTTGATCTGGCGCCTCCGCTCACCTGCTTCACTATCCCACCACAGCTGATGCCCACCATGTTCCACGCTCTGCCTCCTGCTGCCGCCGCCTGATATATTCCCTGCACGCCCCCTGGTGGTCAGCGCACATCATAGCGACCGGTTGTTCAGTTGTTCAGTTGTTCTGCTGTTCAGTCTATTTGCATATTAGGGTATTATATATATAGATATTCAGTATGCAGACCAGGTAAATAAAGGGTGTCCCAAATTTCATGCAAGAAGTAATTTTGATAAAAAACACAGGTTAATAATTAAAAATTGTAAATTTTTTATTGATTCATAAAGTATATAGTATAGGGTTATGTATGGAATAGCATATCGGGTAAATGACCTCCACAGCTTTGCTGGCACATACGCACTCTTTTGTTGAAATTTTTCATGACCGTTTTGCATAAATGTGGCTGAATTTTGATGAGGCTCATTTTTATCTTGATGGCTTGGTTAATGGACAAAATTGTCGCATTTGGGGTTCAGAAAATCCACGAGTGATTGTTGAGAAACAAATGCATCCACAACGTGTCACTGTTTGGTGTGGATTTTGGGCTGGAGGCATCATCGGACCATTCTTCTTCGAAAATGCGGCTGCTCAGGCAATAACAAAAGAGTGCGTATGTGTCAGCAAAGCCGTGGAGGCCATTTACCTGATATGCTAGTCCGTACATAACCCTATACTGTATACTTTATGAATCAATAAAAAAAATTACAATTTTTAATTATAAACCTGTGTTTTCTATCAAAATTACTTCTTGCATGAATTTTGGGATATATATATATATATATATATATATATATATATATGAATAAAAGATACGAAAAGGAAAGTATAAGTTGTGCCATTTTGTTTTACATGTTGACCAACAAGAAAAAAGAAAAGCAATGAACATTAAACCAAAAAGATAATTCATGTGATCCTGTAAGCATTGGTGTAATAGTAGCATACTCTCCAGTGATGGCAAACCTTTTGAGCTCGGCGTATCAGCATTTTGAAAAACCCTAACTTAACTCTGGTGCCGTGTCACGTATAGAATTTTTTTGATATTTGCAACCATAGTAAAACAAAGATTTATATTTTTGATATTTATTTTATGTATTTAGATGCCATTTAACAAAGAAAAATCAACCAAAAAAAAAGTGAGTTCGCGTGTCACCTCTGACACGCGTGTCATAGTTCGCTATCACTGCTCTATACTCTTTGATACATCTTGAATATGGTCCATATCAGTTTGTATAAAAAAATACTTCGTTCTTTTAAATGCCATTGTAATAATAAAATGAAGTCTTCTATTGATGAATATGTAAGTTGTTTATAATCTTTTGTTCTAATCAACAATGGTGAAATAATTTATGCCTACCTCATTTCATATGTATATAACTCTACCTGTAGGATACATTCCCAGAAGTGGAATTTCTGGGTCAAAATATTTTTGCATTTGTAATTTTGATACGTATTACCAAATTGTCCTTCATAGATTTGATTAATCCAAAATGCCCATAAGTAATGTAGGATGAAGCCTCCCTACAGTAACACTTATCAAACTTAAAAATGAGGTTAAACATTTTGTTTTCCAAGACATTTATTTGTTTGTTTGTTTCTGGGAACTGCCTATTTATATTATTCCCTCTTTATGTTAGGAAAATTAGCCCTTGCCTGGAGATTAGTTGCAACTACTTTACCCATGTTGTTTATTATCTTTTAACTTTGATTATGGTGATTTTTGCCATACAGGAAAAAAAACTTACATAAATGTTATTGCTTCTAGATTTCTTATACATACTTAGAAAACTTACTCCCTTTTCTAAGTTATGAATAATTATTATGAAGTCATGAAATAATTCTTCCATGATTTCTCTTTCAAAATTGAATTTTTTAAGATGGGGAGCCATTTTATTTTTCCAGGTGGCTTCCCAACTTAATTTATTGGGCAATGCATATTTTCCTCCATTGATTTGAGATACCATAATTATTGCATGTTAAATTCCACGTTTAGGTTTATTTTTGGAATCTATTCTGTATTACTGAATTATCTGTTAACTCATATGCCAATAGCATAGTGTTTTATTTATTGCAGGTTTATAATATTTTTAATATATCAGAGGTCAGTGTTTCCTGATCATTCTTGTTCATTTATTTTTCTTTTTTGCTCATTTATTTTTAAAAATTATCTTGATTGTAAATTTATAAATTAATTTAAGGAGAATCAATATATTTATGATGTTGATACCTCCTATCCAAGAATATGGTATGCCTTGCTCAAGTACTTTTTTGTGTAACTCAGAAGTATTTTAAAATTTTTGGTCACATTTATCTTGTACATTTCTTATATTTATTGCTAGGCATTTTATCTTCTTTTGGTGGCCATGATACCAGTAATTGAGCATATCTCTTATTAAATCTGATAGTTGTGTGTATATATAAAAGCTATTTTAATTATGTACCCAGCCACTTTACTGAATTAACTTATTGTCTGTAATAGTTTTTCAGTTGATTATCGTGGAGTTTCCAGGTTTACAATTATATCTGCAAATAGTGGTAATTTCACCTCTTCCTTTGCAACTTTTAAACTCTATTTTCTTTTGTCTAGCTGCATTGCATACATGTATTTTTTATCTTTTACTAACTTCTGCTTTTATCTTATTCTTTTCCTTCAGTTTTTGTTTGGTTTACTTGCTCATTCTTAGACTTTTTTAATGCATGTCAATTTTCTTTTGAGCATTATTTTAGTTTTACCCTAAGTTTCTGATGTGTAGAATTTTCATTATAGTGATTCTACAGATACTCTGAAATTTGGGGTTGGATTTCTTATTTGATTGAAGGATTGTCTGGGGTTTTTTGAGTCCTATTCTATATATTTTATTAATTGTATTTTCATGAGAGTATGTTTTCTACAGTAATTCTAGTTTTGAGGATTGGTTGCAGTTTTCTTTATGGATTAATGCAGAGTCAAGTTATATGCATGTTCGCACTGGAGTTTAATATTA